AAAACTAAAATAATGCAAAAAAACAACAAAAAAAATCGTGGACTGCTTCGTTTTAATCAACTAGATTGTACATCACTTTAGATTCCAGTGTAATTCAGTGTTTTTATATCTTTCGCTGGATGTGACAGCTTATAAGAACAACAAAAGGGGAGATAATATTCCCATTAACATTAACTCCAGCAGGTGAAAAGACAGATAACTGGAGAGAAATATGAAACTGAATTCAGGCGAGGGGAATTTTCGGAATTGATGATTTCTGAAAATGTGCTTCCGTGCTAAATCATAAATTAAAGAATCAACGGTTTTATAAGTATTTCTGTCAAATAGGTTCACTCAAGGTGAAAAAAGTTGGTTCCCACTCTGTTAAATAAAATAAAAGAGTAAAGACTCGAAAACTGAATTTCCAAAAATCAAAAGATAACAGTGAGAAAAATAATCAAAATGAATTCTCGCCGAATTTTCGGATTCCATGAAGAAATTTCTCAGTGTGCCGTCATAATAGCCGCAGAATAATTGTTAGTGATTATTAGTCAGTACGAACAACTAATTGTACCAATACAAAGTCTTGGAAAATATGTGTGTAAACTTAAATGATAAAATAGTTGCAGCGGTAAGTACTAGGCCCTTGGAAATGAGAATCAGCAGAATGACATATCCATTATCACCCAATATTTAAAATAAAGAATGGGAAAGCTTTTCCCAGTCCTGGGAATTTCTCTTCTGCTGACAGACAAATCAGGAGACTCACAGGAACAAAGAAATGGTGATTCAGTAGTAAAGAAGGAAAAAGTGACAAGCCCATTTAGTCAACAGATAAATTTTCAGGCGTATCTCCGAATTCGAGGCAGATAGCGAATTTTTTGTAAGAAACTTTTTTATTGCTCTCATTCCAGTCCATAAAAGAGGTTCTGAAAAACTTTCTCGCTATCTTCTTTAGATTCAGAGCTAGGGAACAGGTCGATTCGCTACTGAATTTCTGAAAATCAAAAGTATGAACCGCAATAACTGCAGAACTGCTCCCACAATTCACAAAGCATATCATTGATAAATGAGTGATATTAATATTATACTCGAGGACCCATCAGCAAATCTTTAGATAAACCGATAGAATGTCCCTCCCCAGGACAACATTTAAGGATATCCGAGAATTTTATTTTTTCGGTGCTGTTTTATTACGTTCTATTACGAGATTATCATTCAAGTCCGATCTTCCTTTTTCAAATTTATGTTCTACATTTTTGAAAATCCATTCCTTACACATCTTCCAAGATAATTTAATTAAGAAAGTCGATTGAGAATGACAATTCTTTCTGGAACGCAATAAACATTCGACAACAGATTCAATTTTTTCCACCAGTTGCCAACATGAAATTTCTGGAATTTCCTCTCTTCAGATTTTGAAAAATAAATTAAATTTTTGCTCATACTAAACTGTAAAATGAACCAAGATATCCTTAAAACCAAAAACCCATATAAAAACGTGAAAGGAAAGTGCTTACGTGATTTACCATGCATTTACATACAACCGCTACTGTCCTCATATTTTTCTATGTGTATATTTTCCAACAACTTGCAAAACCTCGAACATTCTCACGAGGAAAAACGGTAAAATGGCTAAAACACGGTGCTGGGGCTTTAAGGTTCGTGATTCTTCTCAAAAAACTCATGTTTTTAAAATGAAAAAAGCCGCAGAAATTGTACGATATAACTTACAGACTGTTATTGAATATATTTTACGTTCTCGTTTTTTATAGGCATTGAATGTATCCACCGACCATTTGTATGCGTAAACGCCTGTTTGATCGAATCAGATAAATAAATGAGAGAAAAGGAGAATAAATAATTCGCTTATTTGTAACGAAATGTAAGAGTGCAAGTGAGAAGAGTAGATTGAGTGAGGATGATGGATAATAAACACTGTCAGTTACATAATCACGAATTCCTCTGGTAAATTCTCCCATCCGATGCACAAATCTCGTTACAACCCTGTCAATACACGATCACCGGATCTTGATTAAACAACTTGCAAAGTGGCTAGCTCTATAAATCCCTCGATACTCTTTACTCTTTACTATTATCGTATACACCACCACGAGAGTTCTACTGCAAGTACTCCAGTTCATTTTATAGCTCAAGGACATGCACATAAAGTTGAGGAGATGGAGGCAATCACAGGAGCTGAGTGATTATTTATGCATTTCCATTTGCTAAATTTCAATCGTCGAATGCTCAACGCTTCCTTCTCCCAGCTCAACTTATGCAATTTGGTTGAAATTTTTGGATTACTATTAAATAATATCAATTTTTAGTGGAAACATTAAGAGCTTTTTAAAAATTCGTTTCCAAGTATTTTACGTTTTTGCAGACTTAAAGTACATCTTCTTCTCTTGGATCTCAAAAATATTTTTTAGCTCCTGAGTATAAAATGGAAGTTATTAG